TCTGCATCCCAGTTTCTTCATCAATGCAAGGTGAGTAGCAATTCCTGCAACCTCTGCAGAGCACTTGATTTCCTGATTGCAATAATTATTGAGGAGCCTTACTTACTATTCCTGCAAGCCAGCTCTGTGATGCTGTCACTGCAACTTTTTGGCATACCACCAAGCAGCTGCTTTTTACTGTTATTATTTCTTATTCCTGGACCATGGAATGGTCAGGAGGATGAAGGCAGAGAGACAAATCACAGGCAGGGAGAAGGTGGGAGAGGCACGGGGAGAGAAAGCACTGGTGTCCCTGCCCCACACTCTTTTGGCATGTAGTGAATGGAAAGGGCAATGAAGAAGTCCAAGAACTGGAGGGAGGTCCCACCCAGGGACTGTACTGTCAGATCTGAGCCTTGCCCCTCCATGGGCTCCACCAAGGTGAAGTAGAAGGGCCAAAACAAGGAGACCTTTCCCAACTAAACTTCTTCAGCGGTTGGAAATCAGCCTTGTGCTCTCCCCTGGGGAGACCAGGGTGGCAACCAAGGCTATCAAGGCTCCATGGGTGGTTATGACAGGATGGGTGATGTCTGCTGTGGTATCTCAGCATCCCATAGAGACACAACATGGTCTCCCCCAGCACTGAGAGGAAATCTGCCTGATTCCCACCACAAAGCACCCTTGGCAGGGAGAGGGGAGGAGCTGCCCCATTTCAGGCTACCAGTTCAACCCTGCCTTGGTGGCAGTGAGGTGACTGGGTCCAGTATATGAGGAGGTGCCACACAGTGACCTCCCAGCTGTGGATACATGGGTGAAGAGCAGACACAGAGCCACAGGCAAAAGTAACTTCCACCAGCTCCAAGGAAAGGCAGCACCAACATCAGCACGTACCCAAGTCAAGAAGGACAGAACTCTTGTTGCTGCTGGCACTGATGGTGCCGACGCTATCAGTGTCCACCAGGGGCTGCAGATGGTGACCAGAAGGGCATGCAGCACTTTGCCAGCCCATTGTAGCAGGTACCAGTGGCTCTCTGAAGCACGGGGCAAAGCAGGAACGAACACCGGCCCTTGGACTTCCGACAGGTCACAGTGTCTGACACTGTAAACCAGAAAAAGAGCTGATAAGTACCTTCCTTTGGATACGCACACGTGAAGAAAGCCTGTGCCCATGTTTGCAACAGCTTGACCTGCAGATAGCACGAGTGGTACCTCAGGGAGATCATCATCCTGATATGGAGCTTTGCTGCCATGTCTGAAGGCGTTCAAGAGGTCTGCAAACGGGGGTGGTATTGACACTTACCTGCAGCAGCCTGGGACACCAGCGGCAGCAGAAGAATAAGCAGGAAGAATATCTTCATTGCTTTGGTTGTCATGGTGGAGCTCCACCACAAAGCTGCTGAGACCAGGAGGCACTGCAAGAGAAAGGAATTAACCTCTATTTATAAGGCTTTGATTAATGCAATCTGCGGGGATTGAGCAATCATGTTTGGATCCAAATAATATATTTAAAGGATGCACATTGCGACCTCTAATTACAACCTCATGTGTAGATAGATACCACAACATGTCCCCACCCCTAAAGGAATTATTATTCACTTATGACAATCACCTACTGTTCCCATGTCTGATCCATCTCCTCCACCAGCAATGACCACATGCACAAGGCCCAGTTCACTTCAGGGTATGTGCACTCAAATCCTGATCAAATGCATCTTTGCATTTTACAGTGCTTAATCACCCTTTCAGTGAAGACATTTTTATGTTATCTAATCTAAACCTCCCCTGGTGCAACTTGAGCCCCCTTCCTCCAGGGGAGGTCTAGATTAGGTATCAGAAAAAAAAATGTTGTCACTGAAGGGGTCATTAAACACTGGAATAGGCTGCCCAGGGAGGTGGTTGAATCTCCAACCCTGGAGATGTTTAACAGATGTATAGATCTGGTGCTAGGGAACGTGGTTTAAGCACTGGACTTGGCTGAGTTAGATTAATGCTTGGTAGAGTCAGGTTATGGTTGTTGGACTGGATGATCTTAAAGGCCTTTTCCAACCAGAATGATTCTGCTATTCTGTGATTTGCCTCCAGAAATTCAGATTCTGCACAGAAAGGAATATTTTTTCCCATTTTAGACTCACCAAAAAGATTGAGATTGAATCCAGAATCAGCTCCACCACTTGAAGGCTGGAGAAACAGTCTTGCATGGAGGAGCTGGAGTACCTTAATTTGCTAAGCTTGCTCAATAAAAACGGAGAGGTGACTTCAGCATCCTCTCCATGTAGCTTTGACAGAGACCTGAGGGGGTTTTTAGCAAGAGAGGCTCCTGGGTGCTGAAAGCCAGCACAGAAAAATGCAGCCAAAGCAGTTGCTGGGTGGCAGCCAGAGCAACTGGGAGTTGGCAGTGAAACTGGCTAGCTCTGGGAATATATCTTCTGGAAGGCTTTCTGGCTTTCTTCTTCTCTGCTTGAAATTGTCTCAGGGTGGTAATGGCAAGTCTCGTGTGGCATGGGAATTTATTCCTGGCTTGGAACAAAGCTTTTGAGCAGGAGGAAGGACAAATTTTGTCATCAGTCACCTTGAGACTGAGAAAAGACAATTGAGGTGCCTCAGGGTGGCTCCTTGCTGGGAATGATGAAGATGCAAGGGAGGGGGGGTGAAATGATAAGGGTCACACATCTTGTCTGGGTGACAAGACAGGCCATGCCACATTGCCCCACCATGAACCCCTGCCAGTTCTTCACTGCTGGATTTGCCAGCAAAGACAGTTCCTCAACAGCCCACCCTCAGCTGTGGAAGAGCCTTTGGTGCCCGTCAGGGATTGTGATTTGCATGCAAAAAGTTGGGTTTTCTAGGAATGGGTCATTTGGCAGCAGTGGTATTTGTTGCACTATAAATTGTGGAGGACAAGGCCGGAGACAAATAAGCCTGAGCTTTGCTTGGCTCCAGAGCCCAGCTGACTGTATTAAAATGCTTGGCTGGAGCTGGGCCCAACATCTCAACGCTGGTAGTTAATGAAACACTTTGCTGAACACAGACACGGCTGCCGGGCGAGGGGAGAAGCAGGTTCTCTCCCTTCCACCCATGACTTTTTTAACCCACTGACCACCAAACCCAAACGCTGGAGCTGAGGCTGCAAAGATGCCAAGTTTGGTAAAAAAAACCAGTGCTGGGGGCCCTGGTGATGCTCCCTCAACGGGGAACAATCAGGCAATGACACCTGGGGACACATCCACAGCCCTGAGCTCACGCAGGACGTTCCCTGCTCACGGGCAAATATCACAGAAGGTTTCACAGAGCATGGCAGGGACGGGCATCTTGTCCTAGGGACCTGTGGTGAACCCTGGAAATGGAGCTTTCAGACTGCAAAAAGTCCCTGCTCGGCAGAAGGGGTGAGAGATGTTGCTCCAGTTTAGCAGCAGGACCCAAGATTTGTTCCCAGGGTTGCAGAGAAACTTGCTAGAATTTCAAAAAACAAACAAACAAACAAACCAGCAGTAAATGTGTGGAAGCCTCCAAAGCCACACACACCCCCAGAGCCCAGAGCCTGGGGACCCTCCTGCCTGGCTTTGCAAAACCAATGACAAAACCTTCGGTGCCATTTGGACCCGGTTAAAAAAAACCCTTCACGGACCAGAAACAACTCGCTGAGGATTTCACTGTCTCAAAAGCACGTGCCTCGCTGGGGTCGGGGTCTGCAGGGCTGGAGACCCAGGGGAAAAGCAGCTGGGACGTGTCTCTGCACAGCCAAGGGCACCTGCAGCCCCCCCAAGGGCTGGGGATGACATTTCACCCCTCGGGTGGGGGTTAAAACCGAGGGAACGAACTGAAGGCTCCGGGAACAGCGTGTCCCGGCTGCCACCTGGTGCCCGTCCCTGCGGCAGGAGCACCGTGTGTCCCTCGGGCAGCGCAGCGGGATGTCCCCAGCACCCGGGGAGGGACCCCAGCCGGGAGCGCTGGGACGGGCTGTGCAGG